CAGTGGACGTGTCTGCCTGACCACAATGATGTGGTGCACGCGAGGAAAGCCTACGACCTACAGAGTGATGTACGTATGTATGAAGATGTGGCATATACATGTGTGTTGTTATTTCATTTTAGTTCAGTCACAAATATTTGACCTTTAGAACAGTTTCTCCTATAGTCTCGTCTTTTTCATTCTTTGTATTATTTGTAAACTTTCATAGGACTTAATATGTGTCTGCTGTGTTTCACATTCTTTTTGAGTATGTCATTTGGAGGTGATAAAGCATCTGCTGTTCTCAGTACTTCTTAGATAACAAGTGTTTGTTGCTTGTTATCTGTTGAGTTTATTGTTTTTGTTTACCTGAGTCTACTTGAAAATTTGTTTGTTGTTATGAACACTATGTAAGACTGCAGCTAAGATATTCTAGTGATTTCAAAGCAAGTGGATTAAATGCAGCTGCTTTTGTGCTTTGGCTTTACAACTTAATGAAAAAACACTGTCCCTCTATTTCACTTGAGCTTCAATGGTGAGATTCATGTTCCTTGTTGAAGAATTTGGTCAATTGAAATGAAAATAATGTTGCCACTTCAGGAGATCTGCTGATTAGCTCCACTCCTCAGTATCTCCATTCCTTTTTTTTTTTTTTTGCTTAACTTATTTTTGCCATCTTTCACAATGGGCAGCATGTTTTCTTATTTGGACCCTTAAATCATTGAAGCACCTAGAGGAATGCATATTTTGGAGGGAAGAGAATAACCTTTTATCATCCTTAACATCCATTCTGTTCATTTGTTTCTCCACTATTTATTTTCATAAGTTTTTGAATGTTCTGCTTAATTTATTAGCTTACTTAGATCTTCTTCTCTAGCTTACTTATTGCTTTGAGTATCTCTTGTGTATAAGGGATTAATCTAGGTCTAGCTGTCTGGCAGTTTTCTAAAACATATCCTTCTTTATTTAGTCTAAAATAATTCAGACTGTCATTTTTAACACTGTTTTATTTTTCTGATCATCTCCAACACAGGCTGTTTATAAGTCAGACCTAGAATGGCTCCGTGGAATTGGCTGGTTGCCTAATGATTCTCCAGGTATTCAGAGAGTGAAACATGCCCAGGATCTCCTGAGTGACAAGGTGTATCGCACACCTATTGACAGCGTGAAGTACACCAGTGTCGTCGATTCTCCAGACATTGTTCTAGCTAAAGTGAATGCTGAACAGCTCAGTATTGTACGTTACAGTGTTCTTGAATTCTTTCATTCTTTGGAGGTGATAAACAGTTGAACAGAAAACTCTTAAGTTCTGTTAATGTAAAGTTGATCAGTGGGATTTTAAGTTGCCTTACGCTTTTCAAGACGTTTTATTTTTTTGGAGATGATAATTAATGTAAGATTTATGGAATTTTGTGTTATTGACAAGTGCAGTTCCGTGTTTTAAATACAAAATGAATTATTTTAACAGCCAAAATACAAAGAAGCCTGGGAAAAGGACAAGACTATGATCCATATTATGCCAGACACACCTGAAATCAACCTAGCCAAGTCTAATGCTCATAATTATAGCAAGGTATGTTTATTGTTCTACTTTCTACATTAAAAAAATAGTAAACTCTGAATTTCAACTTTCTAAGATGTTACTTAAAAAGTTGGAGGTTAGGTCACATGAATCTCCTTGAAATCTTTCCTTATATGCAGCTTACAACATTCCCTTCCCTCTACTGAGCATTCTTGAAGTATTTGGACAGTTTAAAATAAATGCTTGCATGCAGCTGTTGAGAAATGATTAATATAATGCACCACTGAGACAATACTTTATTAAATGGAAGAGAAGATATAAATATTTTCAGAACTTTTACAAACACCTTTCTATGCTGTATAGGTTGTATAGTGGTGTGTTACAGACACTGTGCCTGTACTGACAAGCAGTATTTATAGCTAGAAACAGAAGTGATGCTCCCCCAAAAATACCACATTTCAGCAAACAAATGACAGTGTAGTGCATGTTTCTTTAATGACAAATGCTAGGGTATCTGGCACATCTGTGACATTGTACTGTCTTTTCAGAAACTGTATAGAGAAGCCTGGGATGAAGTGAAGATGAGTTATGATTTGAGAGCAGACGCAATCCCAATTAAAGCAGCCAAAGCTTCCAGAGAAATTGCTAGTGATGTAAGTGCAAAAAGAGGCATCAAGCTTTCCATATGCTTTAAGAAGTATTCCATAACTGTTATTAATGGTGATCTTTGCTCTTTACCCAGTATAAATACAAACTGGATCATGAGAAGCAGAAAGGACATTACGTTGGAGTTCCAAATGCAAAAGCAGATACAAAAATGCAGTTTGCCCTTGGCATAGGCAAGGTTCAGAGTGAACTGGAATACAAGAAACACTTTGCCAAATGGAAGACACAGTGCCATCTGCCTGTTGATATGCTGTCTATCCAATCAGCTAAACATGGGCAGTCTTTGGTCAGCGATGTTGATTACCGTCATTACCTGCATCAGTGGATCTGTCTTCCAGATCAGAATGATGTGATACATGCCAGGAAAGCCTACGATCTTCAAAGTGATGTGAGTTCACGTGCAAACTTAGTTTAACTTCTTACTGTGTTGTCTGCTTCAGCTCTAACTGAAATCAGTGGAAATCTTCTGCTAAGTGCAGTGAATTGGCTTTGCTGGCTGTTTAGAATACATAGTGTTTGCCAGTATTACGTACTGCTAAGTTTGAAGAGTACTGAGTTTAGATGTACTGCTAAAGAATTTAGATGAAGTTGGAATTACTGTTCTCCTTTTAACCATCAGGAGTGCATGCCATTCTGTATGGATCTTGCAGGATTGTACAGGGAACTGTAGCTACCAGCACAAACTCTATTTTGTTTTCTCAGGCTGTTTACAAATCTGATTTAGAATGGCTACGAGGAATTGGATGGTTGCCAAATGATTCACTTGGAATAAATCACGTCAAACATGCCGGAGACCTATTGAATGAGGTAACTAGAGTTCTCATTATTAAGATTTTCTCAGGAGTAGTTGTAATTTTCAGTATTTTTTAATGATTAAGTACACCAGTAATTCATTTATTTTTATTGCAAAAAACACAACTGGAGTATTTCCACAGTATTCACCATGTATAGAGTGTTTTTTCTTTCAATGTAACCTTTGTTTTGTTCTCTGTATAGTCAGAATTAGTGTGTTAGCTGTAAAATATTCCACTATAATCTGACTGTATTTTCATCTTTTCTGTTTTTCAGAGAAAGTATCGTACAAAAGTTGAAACACTTCAATTTACTCCAGTGACAGACAGAGTTGATTATGTCACAGCGAAGAAAAGTGGTGAAATTCTTAGTGATGTAAGTTTGTTGGCATCTTGTCAGGCTGTTAACTTGGTCTGTGTGTGGCAGTATTTTATTTAAAAAAAAAAAGGCAAAATAATTCTGGATCAGGCTTTGTGGATTCTGTTAATGTTTGACATAAAGTTGAACAGAATGTCACTATTTCATCTCTATCCCTCTATCGTGTCTGTGGGAAGAAGCTCCTCAAGCAGCATAAGATCACTCCTAGACTTGTGGAAAGCCACTGCTAGGTCTGTGACAGCCCCTTCCTTTTCTGTCTTGGCTGATACCTTTGGTGACAGTTGACAACATTGAACATAAGTAACCACATGTACTCTGGCAACCGTAATGCTTACTCCTTCCCAGTTAAGTCAGTGCAATCTTAAACTGTCCAGTTAATTACTGTGCTACAACAATCATTAGAAAAATTGGTGTGCTGTCAGCTTGCCATTCTTCATATGTTTTTGAAGTCTGTGAGAAGCTGGCATGTGAAGATGAAGTGACACGACCCCCTCTCAGTTCATGAATTTGTGCTGCTTTTTTCAATTTGCTTCTGGTAGAGAGCATGCTAAGTTAAACACTCGGATTAGTTCCAGCAGTGGTAGAAGGATGGTAATGACAAAGCTGAATCGAATAGCATGCTGCTGCTCTTCAAGCTCATCCACGTGTTTGGTCATGTCCTGTCCTTGGGAACATGGCTCAATGTATACATCAGTGGTTAGGAGATGCTAGGATTCTGCATTCATGTAAAGGTTATGTTGGATAGAGAGAACTGATCTTGCAAAACTTAAAATCTGTCCTGGTTCAAGTACTTCTTGCTGTAGTTTGGCAATTGGCTGTGGAGCCTTGTAGACAAATAACTGGTGCAACTTCATCTTCTGAAGATACTTCCCTGTCCATCCAGCTGCCGCGGAACAAGTTTTCCAATTTTCTGAGAAACTGTATAAAATCTTTCCTTGTATATCTTCCTTTAAAAATATACATCCATTTAAACGTATGCTTAATCACATTTAATAGGCTTGAAAATTCAGGTTTGTATACATTATTTTATGCATAAAATACAGGTCTTGGTATTGTGTTTTCAATCTGCTGTGATGATGTGACACTTGGTTTTTTTTCTCTGTTCTAGATTAAATACCACAAAGCATGGAATGAAGTCAAGTCAAATTATACTCTAACAGATACACCACAGCTAGATATGGCTCGAGAGGCAGCCAGAATTCTTAATCAGGTATGTGTTCTCTCCTTGATCATATGACAGTTTCTACTCACATCAATATCTCTTCTGAGGGATTTAGAAAACTTGCCATATTAAGAACACCCTAGAGAAAGGATTCATTTTATTTGCACTTTTATATACTTTATATATTTTTAATAATACCTATAACTCCAGTAGTTTTGAATTTCTCCTTTCTCCTCTCTTCTCTTTTCCACAGAGTTTATACAAGGAAAGCTGGGAGAAAGAAAAAGCCACTGGTTATCTCTTACCTCCTGACACTGTGCAGATCCGTCATGCCAAACACTCAAATGATGTCCAAAGTGAGGTAATAATTTTTCTCATCGCATTAGGAGAGCAAGTGCCTAGAAGCTTAAAAATATTAAAGGCCTTACAAGTTCAATAAAAGATATGCAAAGCTTTGCATTAGGGATAACATCCAGTGGGCATTTTATGACTGATGAAGTTCACTGTCCTCCAGACAATTCAGACATTTTTGAGATTATGATTTTTATGGATATCAGTATTGAAAGGTCAGATTCTTTTTTCCACCTTTAGTTTCTCCAGATACAGTCCTTTCAAAGTCATCTAAGGTAAAACTTCATATTTTATAAGCTTATAAAAATTAATAAATATGATTATTAATATATATACATATTATATATATGTATATATATATTTATATATATCTGATTTAACTTTCTGTCATATTTTGGAGACTACCTCTATGAGAAACCATAAGATGGTATGCACGTTAAATTTCAAAGTTTTGTGTAATGAGAGTTGAAGCTCTTGCATGACACTTGGTTAACTACTGAGTGCAGGTTTTGTCAAAAATATGGTGTAAATGCCTTAAATAAAGGTCAACTCTTCAGACAGTCTTAAATTATATTTTACAAAAACGTGCTGGAAATCTGGAGCTGAGTGCTTTATTAGCAGACATTTTCTAGCTAGGCTTTCCTCTTGTTTTGAAAACACACCCTACTGAAAAATGATAGCATATTAGTCTAGGAAATTACACATTTTGAAGTGGAAGGACTACACAAAGTAACATTACTGTTTGCTCCTGATTTTTTTGTGATCAAGTATTGAAAATCAGACTGCAGTTGGCAACTATCTGTTAATAAAACAGTCTCATTGGTTCTTGGTGTTGACAAAGCCATGGCTGTTTTAAGCCATGGCTTAAAAAAAGAGTAGATACAATCAGTATTGATTTACTTTCTTCTCTCCTCTTCCATCAGCTTAAGTACAAAGCTGACTATGTCAAACAAAGAGGTCACTACGTGGGAGTCCCCAGTATGAGAGATGATCCCAAACTGGTGTGGTTTGAACATGCAGGCGAGATCCAGAATGACAGATTGTATAAATCAAATTACCACAAGACAAAGTCCAAAATTCACATCCCTGTGGATATTATGTCAGTTGTAGCAGCCAAGGAGTGTCAGACGTTGGTCAGTGATGTTGACTATCGCCACTACCTCCATCAGTGGACGTGCCACCCTGACCAGAATGATTGTATTCAGGCAAGGAAGGCCTATGATCTGCAAAGCGACGTAAGTGATTTTACATACATACCATGTAATTTCCAATTTGTTTGATCTGAGTGCATTTTTCATATTATATAAGGCTGAAGTACATAATTCCTTTTCTGTTTGTAACTTTATTATTTAGAATATTTATAAATCTGACTTGGAATGGCTCCGTGGTTGTGGCTGGATTCCTCTGGATTCAGTGGAACATAAGAAAGTCAAGCATGCACAGGAACTGATAAATAAGGTAAGAAGGTATTTTAGTTGTTGTGTGGCTAAGCTCTTCTTTCTCATCCCCAGTGTATAAGAAAATATTTCATCTCTTTGCAGAGAGCGTATACAAAAGATGCCCTTGAAAACTTTTCTAAATTCACCAGCGTGGTTGACACTCCAGACATTGTCTTGGCAAAGATTAACTCTGTCAATCAGAGCGATGTATGTACATTTTTTTCTTTCAGTATTATTAGAATTAGGAGATGATTTAATTTATCTAGCTTTTGCTAGACTGTACTGTGTTTAGCTCTGTGTGTGTCTATGTGTGTATGCATATGCATGCTTATTTACAGTAGACTTCTATTGGGCAAGTTGTTTAGTAAGAATATATAAATAATATTGCTACAACAAAGCATTTTACATTTGTCTGTAGACAAATATGGGTTATCCCTTATTTACAGTTGATACAGATTTTCCTTATAGTGATTTAAAATTGAGTCTTGTTCTTGGTAAGCTGGTGGAATTCATGGTGTGGCTGCTGTCTTTAAATTGCTGATAAGCATGTTCTGTTTTACTAATGATGGTAACTGATGACATCTGTCTGTGTACCATAGTGGTTGAAATGCACTATACAACATTTCTGAAGATGTGATCACGTAGCAGAAAATAAATGTCTACTTCTTACAGATGGACAAGTTGGGATAATATATTTCTATTGTGGCATTAACTCAGTATTTGTTTTCTCTCGTAGCTAAAATACAAAGAAACATTTAACCTCGAGAAAGGCCAGTACATCGGGTCTGATGATACTCCTGAACTGAATCATGCCAGAGACATGTCCTTGCTGTATAGTGATGTAAGATCTGATAAATACCTAACTGAGCTACACTTAGTTTTGAAAGCAACAGAATATAGACTGAACTTCAGAATACTATTCTGTTTCTGTCATTAGTTTACCACGGGGCACTGGAAATGTCGTTTAATCTCATTTTTAGTTTTTTCTAGTTAGGACAGTTAGGTTAGGGGTTGTTTCTTTCCCCACTAAACTGATCCCAAAGTACTACTGTGTGGTGTTTGGAAGTAGGAGGAGCATTGGTATAGTTGCGATTCTGTGATGTGAGTTTACATTTATTTTTTTTATGAGAGGAAAATTTTAGGTGACTTATGTTATTAAGCAGTTATTTATCAGTAGTCTCACTAATTTTAATTGGAAGTATTTACTTTTGGAAGTGTAAGTGACTAATTCATATGTCAAATCTTTGTAGTCTAGTCTGAAAGTCAGTGTGTTTAATATTTAAAACATGATGTATTTAAAAAGTTCCATTGACACAATTACTGCTCTTATAATAAATACAAGTTTTACTTGGAGATTTTTCATGATTTCAAACAAATTATCTGTAAGATTATCAAGGTCAATTCTATACTTTTAAACAGCAGTTCATGTCTGCATTTTGAATATTTCTGTTACTTTTCTGGTTGTCAAACAATGAATTCCAGGTCACCATTTCAAGAGAGCAAATCTAAAGAGAGAGTTCAAGTTTGTGCTCCATTACTCTCCTGAGTGGGAGCTCTGTCTTAGACCAAATATGTGTTCTGAATGAATATTTTTCATTTACTGTATTGGGATGATTGATGGAAAGAGGAACTGCTCTATAAAAAGTCATATTCCATATGAGTGAGAATAGCAGAATCAGACCTCTTGGAAAGTATAATGGATCTTATATCAAAGTTTGTATTGTGTTCTGTTTATCTAGAAACTTTATAAAAGAGACTGGGAAATCAGCAAGCCCATTGGGTATACTTTGGATACAACATACATTCCACTTGTTGGAGCCAAGCATGCAAACTACGTGAATAGTGAGGTTAGTAGGAATTTTCCATTCCTTCTTTTTATTTTCTTATCTCTTGTGAACACGATCTTTACAATTTCGACATGTTTATTTTGCAGCGTAAATATAAGGAGCTATATGAGAAGCTGAAAGGCCATTATCTGGCTGGGAAGGACATTGGAGATTTCCCCAGCGTCGTTCATTCGTTAGCATTCCAGAAAATAAGGAGCGCGGTGAGGAGACAATCAACCTTGCCCCAGTAGTTTCTGTTTCCTTTATTAGTAGTGTCTGTCTCATATTGAACATAAGGAATGCTATGCTTGTTAACATCAGTAATAGTATTTTCCATACGCTTTCCTGAAGGTATTTGGGGTGAATCATTGAATTTAAAATAAGAGATTAAGATGGATTTTTTTTTAAACTATGGGACCTATTAGAGTTTTCTATTTTATATTAGGAATTTGGTCAGAAAAAAATACTGTATGGCTTGAGATACTTTTGCTATGTTAGCAAAAAATATATATATTTTTTTAGTGAAATAGGAATTGAGGAATAAATGAGAAAGATAAATATCCATTTGGTGTTTTGTCATCACCACTGAACGTATAACATGTCATGCAGGGCATGGTTAATATAATCTCTAATATTATGTCTCCTTTTGAAAAGGGAGATGAATTGGATTAAAGAAAAGCTTTTAACATATGCATTTCTTATCTTGAAGTAGTGTTACCTTTCACACACACAGTTAAATCTGTCAGTGAAGGAGGCTGTTCTTGTCTTTCCAGTACCTTGTCAGAATAAATGGTGATTAATATCTAAGTTCAGACTTCCTCCCACTGAATCCCGTTGGAGTTTAGCCACTAAACTAAGATTAGCCTCAGATTGTGCTATTATATAACCTGCTGCCTTCTGGAGTCAAAATTATGCAGGAGAACACTATTCATTTTTTTTCCTTCCTCAATCTTTGCTTTTTAGTTGGCATACAGAAAGAATTATGAAGACACTAAAACAAGAGTCCATATTCCAAGTGATATGATGAATCATGTGCTAGCTAAGAAGTGTCAGTATATCCTCAGTGACCTTGAATACCGAACTTACCTCCATCACTGGAATTGTTCTCCTGAAGAACATGATGTTATTCAAGCAAGAAGGGCCCAGGAAATTTTGAGTGATGTATGTATTTCACATATTTATTTAACATTTTACGAAGTCATCTTTTCAAGATACTTAAATATCAAATGCTTTCAGATATTTTTGCAGTATTTAAACATGAAATTGTTAACCGTGGTCTTAGATTGCTTAGTGTCACAGTACTAAAGATTTTTACATTTTCATGGGGGGGGATCTTAATGATCTACTTATTTCTCTCACACTTATAAATTGGAAAAACTTAAGAAGTTAAAATTTGCAAAGCCTTCCCAAAGTTCACCAGATTGACTTGTTGAGACTATGTAGAATGATGGTAAGCATCTTACCATCTGGCATATGCAGACATGGGATGCAGATGTACCATTGTAGAGTCAAAGCATTGCTGTGCTGCAGTGATCACCAATTAATTTGCACAGGAGCCAGGACAGCTTGCATAGACCTCCTGGATGAGTATGGAAAAGACTTCTCTTTGAGGCTGTATCCTACAGCTGCAGATGATACTTGAATTTCATATTAAATACTCAACAGTATCTCTACTCGGGGGAAAAGCCTTCCTAATAAAATGTAATGATGTGTTAATTTCCTGGCCTATTAATATGATGTATAATTGCTGAATAAGCTTGAATTGTGGTGCATTGAGTTTGCACAAGTGGCAAAAGCTGAATAAAGTAAAAATAACAGCATTTTCTTCAAACAGGGGCAAATTTCTTCCTAATTAATTAGGCATCTTTTTTTTTCCTGTATAGGTGGTGTATAAAGATGACTTAAATTGGCTGAAGGGAATTGGATGCTATGTCTGGGATACTCCACAAATCCTGCATGCTAAAAAATCATATGACCTCCAGAGCCAAGTAAGCAAGTTGCCCTCACACAAGTAAACATATATAAGATTATTTTTTTCTTCATTTACAATTCACTGGGACTTACGCCTATCCTACTTGAAAGCAGAATGAAATAATAACATCCAAAATACTCTTTCTAATTATTGCAATGCAATCTTGCAGCTTAGACTGTGGAGTCTTGATAATTCTTGTTGCTAAAAAAGCAGAAAAACTGGGAGAATGGAAGTACTGCAGCATTTTGGTTTTTAACATTGAGAAGGTCACACTCATTTTGTGTACAACTCTGTACACAAAATACCTCAGTTAAGTTATTTATGCTGGGAGAAGGGTATCTGTTGCCTTGCTGGTTGTTCTTAGCCTAGACATGCTTTACAATTATCTACAAATTTCTTTACTACGTAGTTCATACTTGCTGTGTTCCTATGTAGAGGCATTTCTTCAGTACAGCAGTAACTTCAAGTTGGTCTTGCTTGGGCTGTAATCCTGTGCTTTTGTTATCTGATTTTAAAAGACTGATTTTAAAGGAAGTTAGCAGGGAATTTTGTGGTCATTTTCAACATTTTTTTTTTCTTCTGTTTCCTTAGATAAAATATACAGCTGCTGGAAAAGAGAATTTACAGAACTTTGGTGTTGTTACTGATACACCAGTCTATGTGACTGCGGTGCAGAGTACTATAAATGCCAGTGATGTGAGTGTCTCCTTCTTTTCTATTCTTTTTTTTTTTCCTTTGCTCCTTCTGAGAATTGAGACAAGTTCATCTTTCATTTTATAGGTTAAATACAAAGAAGATTACCATAAAACTAAGGACAAGTATACAACTGTGACTGAAACAGCAGACTCTGAAAGAGTTCAAAATCTGAAGCATCTTTTTAGCAATGTAAGTGCTTTTCTCTCAGGGTACTACTGAGATATTTTATTTTATTTTGTTTGTCCTCTATGTTTGAAGATAAGTTTACAAATATGAAACTTACCAAAGTCAGTGACAGCCCTCTGAATTGTCTGAGTATGGAGAGGATGCTGAATATCAGGCTCAGTCTTGTCAAAATATAAGTGTTAATAAATGGGTGAAGAAATTTGCACCTGAACCAAAAAGAGTTCATGTATGAGTAGGGATAAAACTAATGGGAAAGAACTTTGTTACCTTTTGTGTGTGCTATCAAGATTACTGTACTGTCTTAATTTCTGTGAAGTAATGGTAAGGTGTGAAATAATCATCACAACAGAAGGGCTATTGATTTTTACTGGACATTGATTATTACCCAGGGAATCTTTCCACTGATAGACACTTTCTATTCCCCACAGAATCTCTACAAAGAAGCCTGGGACAGGGTGAAAGCTACTAGCTACATAATGCCATCTGATGCTGTATCCCTAGCACGTGCAAAGGAACTGAAGCATAATGCTAGTATTGTAAGTCAATGAAATACTTTGATTTTTGTTTAATAAGGTCAGTTCTGTCAATTCAAGCATTCATGTCTTGCATTTAAATACCAAAGCATTTCAATATCTTAGAACTGTAGAGTCTTTTATTTTTAGTTTAAATATGTATCTGCAGAAAATCCTTTTTCTGTGAGAATAATTTGACTAGCTGTCAGATAGTCCTTTGCTGCTCCTTTTCATGGAAAAAAGTTGCATTTTATAGTAATAGAAACAACTAATAGAAAAATTATAGCTAGTTCTCTTTTAGCCTAAATGGTCTGAGTCAGAAAATTACCAAACGTTCTATATGTCTTCAAATGATGCTTTTCTGACTGTAGAAGGACACAATTTGTTGCATTACTGAGCAGAGGCTAAAGAGAGATCACTCTCTTGGATAGATTTAAAGGAAAGAGCTGTAAAAATAAAAATAACTAGTAAATTCAATTTATTTATTTAAAAATCTTCTAGCTAGCTGTAGTTACTTTTTTCAGTAGTTACAATGCATTTTGTTAGCAGCTAAAAATAAAATTGAAAACTGAGATCCTGCTTTAAATGCTTCCTCTACTGTTTGGACCGAACTGAATAGTTTTTGATTTACTTACTGATTTGGTTCTAAAATAGCAGTTTTCTAACTGGAATTTGTTATTTGTTGTTTTTCTTTACATCTGCTTAGGTAAAATACCGAGAAGAATATGACAAGTTTAAAGCTCTATACACACTACCTAGAAGTGTTGAGGATGATCCCAATACAGCAAGGTGCCTTAGAGTTGGAAAGCTTAATATTGATGTAAGTGGTGTTTTCTTAGAATCCACACAGATAATGTATTTCAGTATGCATTTGGCAGTGTTCAGTATTTCCTAAATATGGTAATCACCCACAAATGTCTTTTCAGGCTTCTGCATCAACTGTTGAATTGTCTGTTCTAAACCTCTAAGTCTAATATGTTTATGTATGAAACACTGCACTGCCTGGCCTACCTCTTTTTGACACCAGTGCCATGAAAATTTGTATTTTAGCACCCTTTATTTATTATGGTGAGCTTGAAGGTTCCTTATTTGCAAATCTGTAGAGTAGACGAGATGGAAATGTTAGTCACAGACAAAATGATTGCTCTCCAACTGTAACAATCCATGAAAATATTAGTAGAATGCTACGTTCTTTTGCCTCAGCTTTATCAACAGTTAATAATTCAGGCTATTTGTCAGTATTATTAATGTGAATGTTTTAATTCTGCAGCGTCTCTACAAGGAAACCTATGAAAAGAATAAAGCCAAAGTCCACATTGTTCCTGACATGGTAGACATAATTGCTGCTAAAGATGCTCAGCAGAAAATCAGTGAAATTGATTACCGCACACGTCTCCATGACTGGATCTGCCTCCCAGATCTTCAGATCAATGCACATGTTCGAAAAGTAGCTGATCAGATCAGTGATGTAAGTTCACAAGTGTTTGTGGTTCACTGTTTTTTTTAAAGGATTCTTGCATTTGTGCTCTGTAAAGGAAGTGATTTTGCAGAAACTTGGTTGGGGCACTCTGTGGTTTCCACTTGTATCTATTATGCTCAACTACACAGCATCTAGATCATGTTTTTGTAATACAGACAAATCAGTCTGTACTGAAATGTGGCTTGGAATGCATCATTTCAGTGTTATCAGTATAGGCTCTGGGCCAAAACCTTGCAGTTCTTGAAATGCTGAAGAAAAATCATTTTAATTCCTAAAATAATTGTTTTGTCAAAAACCAATAACCATTAACCTGCCATCATTTGACAGTTGTGTTTCAGACTGATTTAACAATAAGGGGTTGGATCATGCTGCACATCTTAGATTGCTTCTTTTCTCTCATATCTTAGGTGGTATACAAGGATGATCTTAACTGGCTGAAAGGCATTGGCTGCTTTGTTTGGGACACTCCTGAGATTCTCCATGCTAAACATGCCTACGACCTTCGCAGTGATGTGAGTCTGAATTGGACACACTGTTTCTGCTTACTTCTTAATATTTTTCAAAGCATTGTATTAACAGGATGGAGTAGCTTTATTCTAATTCAGATATGGTCTGAAAAATGTCATATGACCTTCTCTACTGAAATATCTGCTAGCTGTCTTCCCAGGGCTCCATTTTGGAGCCTGTTCTCTTGTGTGTCTTTATAAATAATTTAGTACAAATTCAAGTCCTGCATCCAAGTAAATTTGCAAGTAATGCTAAACTGGGTGAAGCTGCTGACTCCATCGATGTGAAGATGTCCTTAGCTTGGGATTAAGGCTTTAAAATGAGAGAATAATCATTTTGCTTTTCCTGATTGTGTGCCCCCTGTTAAGTTGTGTATCAGAATTAGGTTGGGTGCACATCACATGGTGCGTATGAATATTCTGATGACATTTCCCACTGTTTCTTGATAGGAGTTCTTAAGTAGGTGCCATATTCATTTATGCAGCCTTAATTTCGAGACATTTCTGTATTAATGCTGATTCGTGAGTAGAATAAGTATCTAATAAAATAAATAGTAATTACTGTAAATATAAAGATATAATAAAATCAGTTAACAATAACTAGTCTTACTGACTAGAGTTCTTGAATTTCTCTCTGCAGATCAAGTACAAATCTGATGCAGAAAAAACGAAGAGCAAATACACTGTGGTCATGGACACTCCTGTTTATGTCCAGAGTATCCTCAGTGGCTTGAATGCCAGCGAAGTAAGTGCCTTTTCTTCACAGTTCCTAGATATGTCACTTTAATATATGTAGTCATTATTTCATTGCTTATTATCTACAGCTCATTGACCTTACATTTATTAAGGCATCACTAAATATTTTATCACTAAATCGCAGTCACTAAAATCATTAATTGCCTGAATTCAAAAGAATTTCATCCAGTTTTTTGGAAGATATTCCCATGTGTATGCAAATAATATATACTGTGACAAAGCATCACCGTTATGACTCTCCTCTAATTACTTTTTCTTTTTCTTAGGTTGTCTATCGTGGTGACTATTTAAATAAAGTTAGAGGCAAAATGATTCCTACTAACAAAACAGTGGATTTGGAGCGGGCACATCATGCAAACAAGATACAGAGTGAAGTAAGTATAAGAACTTAGTTTTCATCAAAATGCCAAAAAAAAAAAAAAAGTCCATATTCTTCTCCTGTTTGATGCATTTTCATACTTTCTCTCAGTCTTTCCTTTCTGCAAGTCTGTTTTCTGAGATTCAAAACCTGGATTCTTTAAATGCTAGTCTTTATTTAGCTCTTCAGATGTGGAAGCTGGATTTCACTGCATGAAAATAAAGTGGGACAGTGTCCTTATTTAATCTGCAAGCATGCATTATAGTATGGATATTTGGGAAATCTGTTGCCAAGTGTGTGTAAGAGATTTTCTGTGTAGCTAATGAATATTGTCAAATGCTACACACAGTTGTCTCAAAGACTCTCCCTCTCCTTTCCTCCCCCTGCTTCTTTACAGAATTTGTATCGCTGGGCTGGTTTGAAAGCTCTGCCTACTGGATACAGTCTTCCCAAAGATACCCCTGGCTTCCAGCATGCTAAACACGTCCAGTACATTGGCAGTGATGTAAGTAATGTACTGTGTCCTTCTATGAGTTACCAGGGAAAATTTGGTGCCTGTTTTTCAGGAGTGCACAACTGTTGAGGCAGTTATTTCTCAGATGTGAGAATGGTTGCCAGAAAGCAACAAGAGTGGGGGTAGTTCTGTGTGTTCCATGTGTTTGCCTGAGCCAGGAACTTATGATAACCACGACACAAGCAGTAAATTCATCAGCCAGTGTGAAGTCCCACTGAGTAAGGTAGGTAGAGCAGGGTGCTGATAGCAATTGCATCAACAGTCTCTGACACGGTGAGGGTCAACTTCCATCCGGGTCCTTACAGTCAGGAGGTACAGAAGACAGAACAGAAATTGGAGACAAGCTACCTACAGCATAGGTGCAAGGTAAATCCAAGAGATGGGACTTGAAACCAGGCTACAAAACAGAGCTAGAGATGAGCTACTTGTGAGGGAGGACGAGTGCCCATCCAGGAAATGAGGACAAAAGCAGTGCTGAAGTGTCTACAGCATTGCTCAGACAAGGACTGACGCCTCTGGTGTGCCTAATCTCAGCAATCAGTTCTTACTAGTGCACTCAGCTCCCAACACTGGTAATGTTTACATTAACAGAATTGAAGAAACTGCTATCAACATAAAAATTTTCTCGGACAGATATGCATACCATATTAGACATAAGGAAAATTTAAAATGTTATTAATCTTGGGTGAGATCATGAAGGTAAAAATACTGAGGATGCCTATTTAGCTCTGATGTAACTCATTTGACTATCTCTAAAAATCTGAATCTAAAAATCTACATAAATTACTGCCAGAACAGCAGTGTTCTGGAAAGGAAATTTAGTTTCTACCTACTCTTGTTCAATCTAAAAGATTTTCTTTCCCACTTTGTAGCTGAAATATAAAGAAGCCTATGAACATATGAAAGCCAAAGGCTACACTCTGGGACCTAATGATGTTGGGTTTGAGAATGTGAAGAAAGTGAATCAAGTCATTAATGAGGTACAGTATTTGTTCTCATTTGTATTTATAGTGCCCAAAATCTGAGGGATGAAAATACATTGACTGGAAAGATTGTAGGATCTTTGTTCACTGAGGCTTTTAAGAACAGGATAGACAAATGTCCATTGAGAATGGCAGGGGATCATTGATTCAGCCTTGAAGTTGGGCAGTGTGGCTTTTTAATGTTCTTGATGACTCTTAACTTTCTACAGTCCTGTAAAACTATTGCCTTACAGTGAAATCACTTCTAGCCTAATTTTATTAACCATTCTGCTGCTGTTTGGTTAAAGATGTACAGAAATTGTGTCTTTGACATTGAGTCTCTGTAACTTTATATATAAGTACTCATTTCTTTGATCATTGACTTACTAGTTTGAAAATTTAGCATATATGTTTATGTATTTATAGGATTGGGGTCTTAGATTCTATGTGTAGCTGTTAGAGGTGCTGCTATCAAAAAAAGTCTGGTTAGAAGTATGGTTGCTCCCTTTTTTTTTTCTATTAGTTCTGCAATATCTAGCAAAAGAGCTGGTCAAAAAAGACAAGAACTTACACCCTGCCAAATTTCTTGCTGCATTTAAGTTTTTAACATGTAGAATCCTGTTTTCTTTGATACAGAGGTTGTATCGGGCAACGTACCACAAGAACAAGGATAAGATTCATACTACTCCAGACACACCAGAAATCCGTCAAGTCAGAGCAACACAGGAAGCTGTCAGTGATGTATGTGCCTTTCTAACATAAAAACAGAAGATATTTAGAATATTCAGCATGATCTTGCATGAAAACTACTATTTTTTTTCTTTGTCTTTCAGTTGATCTACAAGTCAGATTTCTTTAAGATGCAAGGACACTTGATTTCCTTGCCATTCACTCCTCAGGTGTTGCACTGCCGCTATGTTGGGGACATCACAAGTGATGTAAGTATCTCCTATTGAGATACCTGGTATTTGAATGTAGAACTTTTACACTGAAAGTGGAATTTGGCTTTTATCCTATTCTGTAATAGGTAAGTGCTTTGTAATTGTCTTCAAGGACTGATGAGTGAACTTGTCTGCAAAGTTAATATTCTGTTTTTCTTCTCCTAATTGCCTTATAGAATAAATACAAAGAGGATCTGAAGTGGTTGCAGGGCTTGGGCTGCTTCCTTTATGATACTCCTGATATGGTCCGTGCTCGTCAGCTGCGTAAGCTTTGGGTAAGGTTCTTCTTATGAAAAGAATATATGTGTAACAACAGTACATTTAGTGACACGTGTGATATGTAATCCAAGAAATGAAGTATATGAAAATAAGTGAGGAGCAACGACAGCATGTACTGCTGTGCTTCTGTTTGTTTCAAAGCACTGTTATTTTATACTGTGAATGTTCTAAGAATAATAAAACTAAGAATAACAAAAGCTTCCTAAGTGATACTGCCTTTATCTTTCAGTCTAATTATGTATATACTGATACTGCAAAGAAGATGCGGGATAAATACAGTGTGGTGTTGGATACTCCTGGATACAGGACTGTTCAGGAACTAAAAACCCATTTGAGTGATGTAAGTTCTATGTTAATTTTATTCATCTTTGGTAGCTGTAATTAAGTAAAGCTCAGATCTTCTCACTGTTTTGTTTTCAGAAATACGTGAGATGCTACAACTGGAAAACTGTGTTTGGGCAGCTGTTACACAAATGTATGTAAGAGAAGAAATCATTCACAGACTTTTCTTTTTCTAGCTGGTTTACAGGGCTGCAGGCAAGGAGCTGAAGACAAAATACACTTCTGTCCTTGACACACCTGACTTCTTGAGAGCCAAGAAAGGACAAAAAATACAGAGCCAGGTGAAAAATTTCTACTAATAGAAAACAGTCGGGGTTCTTTCTTAATATTGTCATTAAGTACAGCAAAATCTTTCCAGGTCATTTTAAATCAATATGGAATTCCTAGAGAGTACTTTTAAAAATGGCCATTGTTAAGTGACTGTAATTTTTCATGTTTACCATATCTCTGTGATGGTCAAATCCAACTTTGGCTGTCTGAAACAAAGCATTGAACCATGGTCTGTTGTGTTCAGATTCTCTGAAACTCTGACTTTGTCAGAGGAATAAGTATTTCTATCAATCCACCATTTGTTCGTTATCTTCAGTCACATAGTTCTTGCTGAGTTAGTACAAAATGTTGTTACCCAACAGAAAAAAACAGACTGTTTGCATGCTTTTATCAAAGTGAGGCATGGATGTAGGGCAGAAACAGCATTAATGTCACATGCATTGGACTTGGGGGTTCCTGAAGATACTGCTAATATTTACAGAACGCTGTGAGTGATGGAAAAAGGTGGACTGAGATAATATGGAAAGTGAAAGGGTGCAATTCTCACCATTTTTTTCTGGGGTAAATTGGGTGTTTATGCATTGTGAACTTATAGTCATTTTTCAGGATGATAAAGTAAAACTTACTTGAAATGTATTTTTTTGGATTCTTTCTGTCTTGCTGCAGTATTTGTATGTGGAACTTGCCACCAAAGAGAGACCTCATCACCATGCTGGTAGCCAGACTCCAGCCTTCACACATGCCAGGCATGTAAAAGACATGGTCAGTGAGGTAAGACTGGTCTTTTGTTTGGTACCAATGTTCTAAACTGCTTAGTAGTTTCATTTCTAATTTTGATGATGGGTTCAGGGCTCAAATCTGTTCGCCTTTTACTTAGCACTGTAACTCATACTTAAGTTCCATGTTTCCCTTACAATTTGTGGTAAATGACTGCACGCTTCTTATGAAGTTAAATATTTTGCAAGATATGTGCTTCTAAATACTTGTCTGCAGAATCGGTGGCAGATTGGCTGCAAAATCTGGAACATCTAGTATGAATTGAACAGCCAAACTTATTTCCCAGTGTTTTGACAGAGAGCTTTGCAAGAATGATTTTGTGCTCCAGATAGCACCTCTAGGTGTTGATGTAAAATGAGATTGGCAACTGCTTCTAAGACTGAAGATGTAACTTTTCCCTTTTACTGTTTCTCTTAGACAAAATATAAGATCCAGTATGAGAAGATGAAGGACAAATACACACCAGTCCTTGACACACCAGTCTTGATCAGAGCCAAGAGAGCATACCTGAATGCCAGTGATGTATGTAGTCCATGAATGCTTTCACTCCTAATTTTTCTTGGTTTCTACCAAAAAAAAAAAAAAAAAGGATCAGTGGGGAACAATCATGCAAACCAGGGATTGTCTCAGCTTTGTTCAAGAACTAGCTCACCTCTCTTCCATTTCCATTTGATATTACAGAAATAGTTTCACTTGGTGTCACTAATGCTTTCTTACCTTTATTATAATTCGTATTCATTTTGCTTTGCACTGAAATGTTGACTTAGAGAAGGAAAAAAATAAGTTGCTTACATATGAAATCACCCAGTAGTGCAGATCAGTGTGAAATGATTGATGCTGGAGCCAGGATATAATACCTTTTAACAGATAATTTCATCTCTGTTTGGTTTTAGGAGTTGACTTATGTGTCCTTGAGAACTTGCTCATTGTTTCATTTAGAAGTAAATTAGAGATCTCACTCTTTAGTGGGACCTTTGCTATGTATTTTACACTGCACATTGCCCAGGTACCCTGGGAAATCCTGATGGAATTTTTGTTAGGCCAGCGTTTTGATGAGAATCTTTCTTACTGCTCTCATGAAAGGGATTTTTAAGATTTTAAGAGTATATCACTTCTTTTGCACGCTGGTTTTCCCTTCTGAGAAGGTCTTTCTCCTAAGATTGGAATGATCTTCCTGCTTTCTTCTGGGACCAGAACATAGAAGAAGGGATGAGTAGGGGTTTTTTTGGCTATTTTAGGGATCACATACTTAGTACATGGCTATCTTTTCTCAGTCTGCAATTTGAAAGAATAGGATGAAGTTTTGCTTTAGATATACCAACTCCTTTTATCTCTAATTTTCATCACAAGTCTCAGTCAAATTGTAACTGATTTTAGGTAGTTGAAGCTTCTTGAAATTCCTCAGGACTTACATTAGGATACTGGAAAGCAACATATAACTTTATCATTCCTCAGGTGTAGGATTTTTAACTAAAATGATTCCTGATAGATAAAATATGGTTTTAATATATAACTTTTTTTTTTTTTTTTTTCCAGCTACGCTACAAAGAAACCTTTGAGAACACAAAGGGGAAATACCACACAGTGAAAGATGCTTTGGATATTGTCTATCATCGAAAAGTCACAGATGATATTAGCAGTGTATGTAGATGAGATTTTAATTTCCAATTAATATTTGTCATTTAATAGCCTAGAACATGCTAGTCATGTTGTTAGTTATTTGACTGTATCAAATAATTAGAAAAATATGATCAGCACTGTTAATAATATTTTCTTTCCTTGATTATGTGCTTGATTGACTTTGTCTTAAAAAAAAAAAAAAAGTGAGTACAAGTAAATCTTATTTTCACTGCTGTAGTTCTGGTGCTCCAGAAACAAAGAGTGTCTGAAAGTTGCATGGGTTGAGGTGCTCCATTCTCAAAATCTATTTTTTTTGTTCTCTTGATTTTCTTTGTAGGTGAAATACAAAGAAAACTATATGAGCCAGCTGGGAATCTGGAGATCAATCCCAGACCGACCAGAACATTTCCATCATCGTATCGTCACGGATGCTATTAGTGATGTGAGTTCAAGTAGTTCCTGGATGTGAGAGATTGGAACTTTTTATGTAGGTTTCCTAAATGAAAACCGAGTCTTATTTCTTGAGAAAGTGAAGGCAAGTTTTGTTTCTTTTCTAAAGGTTAAATACAAGGAGGACTTATCGTGGCTCAGAGGCATCGGCTGTTATGCATGGGATACACCAGATTTTACTTTGGCAGAAAAGAATAAAGTGCTCTACAGTGGAGTAAGTAAAACGTCCTGAGTTGTTGCTAAATGGTTTTTATTTTATTTTATTTTTTGTACTTTGGTTTTTCTTTAGGAGAATCCAATTCTGGCCTAGATATTGATATGAATTTGTCACGGTAGAACTTGAGAAAAGATCTGTAATTCCAATTCTTGGTGTGAAAGAAAAACGAGGCAAAATGATCTTTTATTTATCCCCTGTGGTCTCTGTAAAAGTTTCTGTTCCATTGTAATATTTTCATAGTGATTCTAGAAATCAAGCTTTAAAGTTATCAAGATTTGATGCTTCCATTGAGTGCTTGATATGATAGTTCCGTTCTGTAAGATGTTACATTTACAGCTATTTTGCAGTAATTTTTTTTTGCTTGTAGTTGAGTTAAATAATTAAATCAGCAATATTTTGCTGCAGAAAGTTTCTAAAATTCTAAAATGACTGTGACTTAACTCTGGGATATATATCTGTGCTTTTTTTCCTGCAGCACAAGTACAAGGAGACGTTTGAAAAGACAAAGTCTCATTTCCAGTACGTAGCTGACTCTCCAATTAACAGGCATTTTAAACATGCAACTCAGTTGCTGGATGCGGTAAGTGTTAAAGATTTCTGTGAATATGGAATCAAGGGTTGATTGTCCTTATGAATTTGCAAATAAATAAAAATAGATTCAGAGCTAATGCTGTCTTAAGGTCAGACTGAAATCAGGAAATGAAAGGTTGTTCCTGTGACCTTCCTGAATGTTAGCACAGGACAGATTTGCAGTAACTGAAAAGTGAAATCTTATCTTTGCTGACCAGTAAAGAGCTGCTAACTTGATAATATTACTTGCTGAGTAACACTGAGTAAAAAAAACTGTTGATTGCAGTGTTGAAAAAGGTATCAAGAGAATTAAAGCATAGTATTATGAGTATAGTATAGTCATAGCGTTATGATAGTATTGTGGCCAAAGTAATCATAGCTCAGTTTCATTTCTGATACTCTGCCTTCAATTCTCTGACTCTACTACTTAGTGGTTTTCTCCTCTGCTAAAGAAACAGTGAACTTAATGTATTAGGAATATTAAAACCATCAATTAGTTGTTAGAAGTGGTACTGAATGCTTAGGAAAAAGACCCCTGAAAATCTGTGTGATGTGGGTGAATTCTTACCAGCTTAGAGTTGGCTTGCAAACCAGTCCCATAGAGGGAAGAAAATAAAACAGCAACCCAGCAATCTGGTTAATCTGGTTAATTGCAGAAATCATTGCTACAATCTAATGCTCAATCTGATAAGCAGTGAACCAGAATTTGTGATGGAAGATTGTTTATGTTTAGTAGGGACAAATTATTATGAAAGACGTGGAAGAGAAAAATCTTAGCAGGAGGGGCCCCATACATTGAAAGAAACTTACTTAAATGTCTTCTGTAATGTGAGTGATGTTTTCATGAGGGATTAAAGTTTTTGCTTACGGAAAGTCTGATGATAATATAACTCTGTAATTCACCCTTCTGTCTCATCACGCTCTCTTTGTATTCAAATCAAGATTCTAGTCCCATACAGGGTTGTTTCAGCAGCTCTTTTTCATGAAGGAAGTAAGTTATAAAATGGCTTCTTGAAGATTGACAGGAACAGGGTTGAAGGTATCTTTAAATTGTAAGTTAGGCCTTCCAGATAAAATTTAGAGTTGCATATGTTATTTTGGCATATTTTTCTGGTTTTTTTCCTTCTTTGTTCTGTGCGTTTTGTGTTTTGTTTTGTTTTTTATAATAATAATTTTTTCTATTTTGGATATGTACTTCAATCCTTGCCTTTGAGTATTTCATATGAAGAGGTTTAAATGATTCATCTGTGATCTCAGGATCTCTGTGTCTTCACTGTCTTCTTTTAATTTGTTACAATTTGTTATGCTATTCTGAGCAGAAATTATATAAAGCTGCCTATGAGAAGCTCAAAGATAGGTACAGCGTTATTGTGGATGATCCTAAGAACCTCCTGGCCAAGTGGGGGACTACACTGAGCAGTCAGGTAGGGTAGGAGCACTTGCCAGTGCTGCCAGAAAGTGCCTGGTTCACTCCCAGCTACTCTGTCTGTGTGAAATGTTTACAGCTGGCAGTATCAGAGGTTTCACCTGTGATATTGTGATGTTTTAGTTCAGATCAGATAGTCTTAGTTTTGCCACCCAAAAAGGATTGTTACTTTTTGAGTGAGCTAATCTCTACTGTATGTACTTTCATGTGCATCAATTGACATCATACTCAATTAATTTCCAATCTAATGCCTGTTGAAGTCAATGGAGAGGTTTTAAAAAATGCATGTTGTGTCATGCATTTATTTATTAGCTCTTTCATTGGCTTCTACAAATGCTATCATCTTACTTATTTCTAGATAAAGCAGCAGTGGCATATTGGATTTTTGAGTGCCCATGCCTTTATCTCTAATTTACTATTATCTCCCCAAAAATATTCTCATAATTTCCTTAATGGGATAATAAGCAAATCTTTCAGTATGCACTCTTAATTACATAGATGTAAATTGTATGCACATCTGAATGAATACATACAGTACTGTGCCTAAATCTCTCCACTCTCAAGGTGTCAGGGATCTAGAGCTGTCTTATTGTTTATGGTGTTCACAAGTCTCTTTTGTGCTTCGTTGCCATTTGCATGAACAGAACAGTTATAAGTCCCTTGCCAAGATGCTCCTGAAACAAGGGTGTAATGAAATTCTGAGGCCAGATATCCTGACAGCACTCTACAACTCATACTTATGGAGCCAGGTAATACGAAGAACTGCTGCTGTAGGAGACATTAGTACTACCATTTAGTTGCTTGGTCTTTTTATGCTTGTGAGTTCTCTGAGCTTCCACAGGTGACAGACTCCAAGGTTTTGTACATGTCCAGAAGGGTATATCTATGATAAAATAGTTTAAAACCCAAACTATCTGAAAAAGCATTTAATGGGGCTTGAGCTTCACTTAGCTTAGGCTGATCTTGTCTCCTTTTCTTCATTTCATACTTACATAAAGAGCAATTTTCCATGCATTGAAGATCATACAATCATAGCATGGTTGGGTTGGTAGAGATCTCAGAGCCTTTCCAACCTAAGCCCTGCCTTGGGCTGGCTGTTCCCCCAGCTCTGGCTGCCCAGAGCCCATCCACAGCCTGGGACACCTAGAGGGATGGCACCACAGCTCTGGGAAGCAGTGCCATGGCCTTTTAAATAAGGCTAGCATACCAGCCCTCATGCAGTCACATACTGAGAGTTTATAAACAAAAATACTCCCTCCTTTCATCTTTTGTAAAAGTTGAATGTAGAGAAAATGATTCATCTGTTCACACAGAAAAAGAACCTTTGGTATCATTTCTGATGGTATAAAAAAAGGCCTCTAAATGATTCTGGTATTATTATGAAGAAATGATTTTCTGTATTGTCTTCGTTTAATCTGGATTCCTATGCAACTGGAATTCATTGTAACAGTTGGGTAAAAAGGTGATTTGTTGAGTAACTGATACATATTTATATTGCTCACAAATGAGATCTGCTAGCAGTAACCTTGCTACTTTCAATGGCAAGCACATTTTCTGACTGGGCTGATGAAACTGGCATTCAGTGTATAAATTAGCACTGGAAATGCAACAGTAGAAACCAGTTACATGACAGTGAGGGAGTTGTCACTACAGTTAATAAAGTCCATTAGTATTATAGAACCAAAGGCCATTACTAGACATTTTTATCCAGTTGATCAGTGGATATCTATTTATTACCTCATTAAAAACTCCTTGCAGGTAAGCTTGAGTGTGTTTGAAGGAAAAAAATAGCACTCTGCCTGACCTGGATGTTCATTTGAATGGGTGTTATCTTTTGATTTGTTGTTTGTATATAATTATCAATATTTTGTCAGTCTCAATCCTGTCTAAAAGCATGGTTTTATTTTCTGATCCAAGAGAAAGCATGAAAATTCCTTTTAAAATGTGTGTTCCAACCTCTTCTACCTGCCCTGAGGCTATCTGCAGTGGATTACCATTCTTGAGATACAGTCTGTTCTCACTGAATCCTCTGAAAACTGTTCAGAGTCCTGAGTAAAGCAAGGTAATCTTTAAGAAATTATTAAGATACAGATTCTGCTGCCAGTGACTTTAAAGTAGCCTGGCATTATGATGGTTCAGTGGATGCTTTTTTCTTCTATTGTGTGAGATGTTTTACATCTCTCTTTGTTCTGGTGAATATTTTAAAATAAGATTATGAATCCCATTATGAATTAAAAAAAAATCACTGATCTGCTGAGGTTGCTTTATTCACTAATCATGGGCACAGAAGTGAAGTTTTATGATTCAGTGAAAGAAATATAAAATATTCATGCAAATAGACAGCCTCTAGGGCAGATAAGAGATTTGCAGTGTTTGGTTTGTTTTGCATGCTTTGGTGAAAGGGTTTTGCAGTTTCTTGTGTGAATATAAACATGTATCTCCTGGAGCTGCTTTCCCTTGGTTTGTGTGGTTAACATGGTCTCTTTGCCAATCACTAGGTTGAGTACAAAAAGGACTATGAAAAGAAGAAAGATAAGTATACCACAGTTGTGGATACTCCAGAAAACTTAAGGACTGCAAAAGTCAACAAACAGATTAGTGATGTAAGTGTGCTCAGTCCCTTACAACTATACTTCCTTCCCGAATTCTGCCCTTGGAAAATAATAATTTCAGTAGTCACTTAAAAAAAAAAAATGTTTCTCATCCTGATTTTTTTTTTTTCCCCACTGTCACACAATAATGTGATCTCTGATTTGTATCTTCAGATTATTTACAAGTTGGAATACAACAAAGCGAAGCCTAAAGGCTACACTACAATTCATGATACCCCTATGCTGCTCCACGTGCGCAAAGTCAAGGACAGAATAAGTGATGTAAGTGAATCCCCAAAAGCACACACAGTTAACTTCTTACCTTGATAAGTACTATTTTTAACATCTGTAAAACTGGCATAAAAAATAGCTTCTCATTAGGGTGTGTTGATTTTGCTTGCATATAAAACTCTGAATGTATGTAATGTCTTTTCTGAAAAATCAGTTGAATATAAAATTGCTCAGGACCTTTTTCATGTCAGGTTTTGCAGTAGCTCTTGGAATGTTTTTGCTGGGTTAGAGTGGCCCTCAATGCATAATAAAATTCAAAGCTGGATTTGGTATCTAATCCACAGTAGTGGGTCATTAATAAGCACAAATTTTTCAAAAGTGATCTCTGAATTGAAACACACTGGTTCCAAAATAAGGGCTACATTTCAGAATCTGTAAAGGGATTTTTGGAAAATGTTGAGTGTGCCCATCAGAAGATAGGCTTCTTTAAAGCATTTCTATTGAGTGCAGGAAAGTAGAAGCAGACAGAATTACCATTCACGTGTGGATTTTGTTTGTCTACTCCATGGTGAGTTCTGCCTGCTGTTTGATACACTCCTTGATGAGGGCCCTTCTTTCCAGCAGACAGTTGATACTATGTTGTACTGATGAAATTTCTTTTTCCTGTGAAGATTTTATCTTTACAGGAGCAATTTTTAATATTGTGGTTTTAATGTTTTGCTGCTTTTTTAATTGAAGCTGCTAGATTTTGTGTTATTAACTTTGTAAATGTTTTTTATGTTTTCTTTCTTTAGCTGAAATACAAAGAAATGTATGAGAGGAATAAATCCCACTGCAATGTTGTAGCAGATTCAGTTCATATTAAGACTCCAAGGCATGCTTACAAGCTGAACAGCAATGTGAGTTCAGTTTGATCAGTACTATACTTCTGTTATGCACAGTGGCTGAGACCAGCAATGGTGACCAGGGGAAATTATTTTAAATTCTATCAAAATTCTTTGTGCTTCGACATGATTTTTAGTTTTTATGCTGCTTGAATTAAATATATGTTAATGTATTTCATACTAAAGTACTCATTCTTGCAAGTTCTTGAGATCATCTGAGATTTCTTGTATGTCCCATGCCTACTATTGTTCTAACTTTGCCCTTTTTTGAAAAAAACTGTGGTAATGTTCTTGTGGATGGAGTGAAAGCTTAATGAGAAGTTCTCATTTGTTTTTAATTATTGGTGGTCCAACATCCACTGCAGTAAGTAAAGAACTGAAAGCACTCACCTACCTCAAAGTTAAAACATCATTTCAGTCATTCATGTAACTTTATTGACCCAGCAGTTGATTAACTAGAGTAAATGGATTTCTCCGGGATTGTACATAATTCAAACCCTAATCTGATCTGCATGTAATTTCTTACATCTTTTACTTATCCAAACTGAAAGAGAATTAGCATTTATATGAATTTCATCTGTCAAGTACACAGCATTAAATTTTTGTTTCTTCTTCATGTTTGCCTGTGAACAGCTGGATTATAAGAAGAAATATGAAGCAGCCAAGGCTCATTGGCACTGGATTGCTGATAGGCCTGACTTTGTCCAAGCAGCCAAGTCATCTCTGCAGCAGAGTGATGTAAGAAAGTCTGAACAACCTGAATATTCCCTTTCCCCTCTTTTTTCCTTTTTACAATTAAAAATTGTAGTAGATCTGGGATTCTTTTTCTTTTTTCCTAATCTTGTTGTTGATTTCTGCAGTATGAATACAAACTGGACCGAGAATTCCTGAAGGGATGCAAACTCTCTGTCACAGATGATAAGAACACAGTGTTGGCTTTAAACAATGCCATCTTGGCAAGTGATGTAAGTACTTGAGCATTCACTTCTTTATTCTTCTTGAACTTACTACAAAAGCTACTTTGTTGGCTGTTTGGATTAAGAATGAAGTGAAGCACTGGAACAGGTTGCCCAAGGAGGCTGTGGATGCCCCATTCCTGCAGGCATCCAAGGCCAGGCTGGATGTGGCTCTGGGCAGCCTGGGCTGCTGGTTGGTGACCCTGCACATAGCAGGGGGTTGGAAGTGGTGAGCACTGTGGGCCTTTGCAACCCAGGCCATTCTATGATTCTATGATTTGAAAAGTTGTTCTCGTTTAGTTTATTTATTTTAATGACAAACTGGCAAAACCTGAATAAATTTGATCTTGTAAATGTCACTGGACAAATAGATGGTCTTTGCAATTAAATATTTAAATTTTAACGTTGCCTGAACACGCTGGAGCTTTTCTTATCTATAGATTAGCCTTATTGAAATGAAAATGTTGCCTGGAGTAAACAAAACAAAAACAAAAACCTAACCTGTCCTTACTGCAGTATATCTTTAAGAATGTATTGAATTAATATATTTCACATATTAGTGATATTCCAGTTGAGAGCTATACGAGTATGGAGCCCTGGAACAAATTTGTCTTGGAAAACATCAAAATATAAAAAGATCTGCACCTTTTGCACTATAAAGCAGTGAGAACAACAGCAGTCTCTTTTGAAATCATCACAAAACAATGCTTAAAATGATATCTTTTCTCCTTTCTAGATAAAATACAAAGAGAAGCACAACAAAGCTCGAGGAACATGCCTGGTTGTTCCAGATACACCTCAGATCCTCCTGGCTAAGAATGTCAGCTCTCTGGTATCTGAGGTAACACATCTGAAAGTTATTCATGTTTGTGTATATCCTTTAAGTATTGGGTCAGTGTGTGTGTGTTGGTTTTTTTTTAACTATTTTTCTCCTATGCTTTCAGAACAAATACAAAGAACACAGCAAGAAACAGCTACCTCGTGGGTCTTACACAACCTTACCTGAGACAAGAGACACTGCTCATGTGAAAGAGGTGACCAAGAACGTCAGTGATGTAAGTAACTTCTGCAGTATTAATTTGCTGTGAGATCGATAGCTGGTGCCTGTAATTGATGAGAGTGTTTCATGTTTGAGTCTTATCATAAAATGGGCAAGGATTCAGCAAAGATAAACTGTTACAATTTGGAATTGTGGGAACAATTGGAATATTGTTGAAATACTCTGGAGAAAAGAGACAGACTTGAGTGCAAATGGATGAGTGTCCTTAATTCAGGTTTCATTTTTAAATAGAACACAGTTTAAACTAAGATCCTCCAAATAGCCAGCTTATGGAATGTGAAATGTAGATTATGACAAATACACAGCAGCCTTAATATTCGAGGCTTAAGACACTGCATTTTATCTGTCTTAACAGCTTCAGTGAACTTGTTTGTAAGCTTCAGTAGCATTTACCTCCCTGTGAAATAAAGAAAAAAATCACTCATAGCCTTTTTTGTTCTTCGTAGACAAACTATAAAAAGAAATTTGTGAAGGAGAAAGGCAAGTCTAATTACTCCATCATGCTGGAGCCTCCTGAAGTGAAACATGCCATGGAAGTTGCTAAAAAACAGAGTACAGTAAGTTTGTTTTGTGTTTTCATGAATTAACTGGTTTGTGTAAGGAAATTAAAGTCAACTGACAAAAATTCACTCACTGCTGGGTTTCTCCCAACCTCCACATCCAGGTATAATTCTGAAGGACAAAGCTGCAAATTTCTACAGATGTAAAATTGCACTTAAATAAAGAATGTCTTTGAAAATCATGTTTATCGTTTATAATGTGAAGTAATCTTACACAAAGCATGTAAATAACTTATTCCTTCAAATATAGACAGAATTGTGTATGCTTGTTTCTTGTGCAATTTGACCACGTGCAAAAACAGATTCCCAAATCGATTCTTTGTAAAATCATTTTAAAAAAAATCCCATATGCTTTCCCAGCAACACTACATTATCATTATTAAGTAATTTCCTCATGAACAAACTCAGTAATCTCTTTTTCCTTTGTCTGTCATCATGGATTAGGTTGAATACAAGAAAGATGCCAAGTCAAAGCTCCACTACACACCTATTGCAGATCGCCCAGATATTAAGAAAGCAACTCAGGCTGCTAAGTTAATTAGTGATGTGAGTGGTTTTTTTTAAATCTTCTTTACAGTTTTTATAGCACAAATTTTACTATTAAAACAATATTATAGAACAATCAAAAGAGCGTTTCATTAATACTAAGATATACATAAATGTTTTTTCTTTGTTAGATTGAATATAAAAAGCGTGGAGAAGCTGGCCTTGGTGTAACCATGCTGGGACGACCAGATATTGAGCTGGCAAAGGAAGTGTCCAAGCTAACCAGTCAGGTAATAACACAAAGCTGTGAAAGTTGGAAACACTGAGGGAAGAAACATAACATTAACTTCTAGAATAATATTTTGACTAGAATTATTTCTAGATTAAATAATAAGGGAATATATTTAAAAGAACACCTTAAAGTATAAGGTACATCCCAGTGTGAGGTTAAACAAACACTGACTTGAGAGTCTGATTCTGCTTGCTGTCAGATTCACCACTTTCTTGTAGTCATTTATTCAGTGTATGTGACTTTCCTAAAGTGCACCCAGTCACTTTCACAAAAACTGGACTGATGCAAAACTGTGTCCAGATGCTAGAACTCTGCTAACTTCAGTGGGAGCAGAAGAAATCCTTCTGTACAAGCAAGAGAGGGTTAATAGAAGTGAGGAGATGGGGCATTTCATTTCTCTGTATTTTATTCTCTTATCTCTAAAATCCTTGTATGTTTCCATCTTCTTGAAAATGATATCTATAATTCTTCAGTGTGCAGTCTCAAATTTTGATGGCGTGTGGAAAGTTAAAATGCAGAAACATACAGATTTCTGAATAACTATCACAAATGTGTGAGTTCTGTGAAATGCTGAAAGCAGTTCGTATGCAAGGCGATAACTGGCCTTCTTATAAGACTCTATTAGATCCTTGTTGTTTGGTTGCCTAAGTCTGTAAGTCCTATAGATTAAAACTGAAGATAGTCATTGCCCCTAAAAGCCAACTGATTGATTTCAGAAAAGTGTTGTTTAAAATTAAGGGTTGTTGGTATTAGAAGCTGTTTTTTTGTAAAAGTCTAGAGTTTGTAGTACATGTTTTGTCTCCGGGGTGAAATAGATGCAGATATGCTGATTATTAACTTGTATGGAAAAAAGAAATGAAAAGAAGCACTTGTATACAGTACTAAGGCTGGCACGTTAGCCATGCTTTCTTCTCCTCTCCCCCTCATTCCTGGGTTACTGGCTTTAAAAGAAGCAGCCTTTTACCTAACTCTTCATAGTCACCCCTCATGCGATGAACAAGCAGTGTCTTTCAGCCACTTTCCTTCTGTTTTGTGTCTTAAATCTTCCATTTTGGAGTCGGTACGCTGCGTTCACAGAAGCTCGTCTACTCTTTTGCAATGGTCATGTTCTCCAGCTAGTTTGAAGCAGATGATTTCCTGTGAGTTTTCTCCCACCAGGACCTCAGATCTACTAGGTTCTTTCTTACTGCTTCACGCTTTCATCATGTAATGCATCAAAAAATGCATTTCTGACCTTGCTCTCTTGCTACGCATTGTAGGCGGAATACCTGAAGCGGCACATGAGGGGGCACGGAGCTGCATCTTATGATACACCATGGATGAGAACGTTTAAGAAAGCTAATATGCTAAGTAGTCATGTAAGATAATTTTAAGTGACATGACTGGGAATGCCATTTTTATGCATCTGTCTCTTTCTTGTGTGCTTACAACTCCGTGTTGCTAAAGGATCTGTGATGCACCAGTTACGCCGGGTCTTCTTCTGCCAGAGGTGTTGAATGTTGAGACTGCATATTTAGATGTGCCTTTTTTTCCCATTTGGAAAGACTGTGCATGGGAATTGTGTGCATGGGGAATGTCTCTTCCAGAAACACCTCTCGAGGCTTGAAATGCTGCTGTGCCTTCGATGATGGTTTTGAAACTTTGTTGTTTTTAATAGAAGTTCCAATGCACTCATGCAGCGTGGAAGCTCACCTCTTTCACCCCCAAATCCTAAAAGCAGCAATATGAGCTTGAGCTGGTTTTTCCAAGGCTGTATGAAAAACAGAAATGTTTATGCCAAACCCGAGCAATGCTGTGGTTATTTCAAGTGAAAAGCCATTCCACATGCAGAATATTCACATTCATTTTTTTTTAATAATTTTTTTCATACTTTTACTGAAACTACTCTGTTTACATTGTTCTGGAATGGCATAATGGTGTATGATTAAATAAGCCCTAGGGTCTCTGAGAAGTGTACGTTGTAGTGATGTGAGGGCAAATATTTTCTTCTTTCTTGCTGTCTCAAAAGCTTTGGAAAACAGAACGCCTATGGCTGCATGGCAGTTTTGAAGTGCAGCAGGCAGATCGTGCCATTTTTGTTTGGCATTTGCACTTGCAAATGAAAAAGGAGGATTATGGGTTTTTTTTCCTGTATCTAGCCACAATTACTGCATGTAAGTGTTGCATGCTTTAATGACAGCCACCCTGCTTGTTGGGGAAAGCAAGAATCATTTTGGTACTACTGAGGACTCTTAACGTCTGGAACAACTGCTCTACAAGGAAAAGAAGAAATGATGTTTGTTTCCATTCAATGATAATGAGCTCCTCCTCCTTTCCCAAGAGGGGAGCTCTCCTCTTCGTCTTATAAACTCGCTTTGATGAGATTTTGGTCTTGAGAGTAAATCAGCTATTTTAGAGGTGGTAAGGAGGCAAATACCAACTGGCATCATCTTTCACTTTGTTTTTCTCTTGGGCATTTCTTCTCATGAATTTATTCTTTACGAAACACGGTGTCATCTTTGTGAAGCTTCATCGTAAAGCAGCTTGTTTATCCACTTATCTTTTTTTTGGGTTGTATTTCAGCTGTCAGGCATGCTTGCTTTCAGTTTTGTATAGCTCTTCCAGCAATATTTCTGGACTTAAAAGCAGTGAACTCTTTAGCATGATGGTTTGGTCTTCAACATACGTTGCTTTCGTAACTTAACAGATTCTTGTATGCTTGCATATTTCCACTTTGTGAGGTCAGAACTAATACTGATTCTTTTTATGTCAAAAACATTGGGTATTGTTCTCTTACAGCAGCTCCATAATTTGTAGATTTACCTGTTTCACTGTGTGCTTTACCTGAATGCTGGCATGTTTTGCAAAGCAAGAGAGCAGTGGCATTATGGAGCATGAACTGCATGGCGATGGGTAGGCAGGAATACACCAGTGAGTTCAGAAATGTGAAATATGATTGTACAAAGTGATTTTATTCTGCATTCAAGCAGGCCACTCATGAATTCTTTGAGGTGTTTTTTTCTTACAGTCTTCTATAACTCCTCAGAAACAATTTTGTGAATCTTTGGCAGTAAATAGATATACTAAAACAAAGCCATTCCTGATGCAACAACCTCTTGCAGATATGCAAGAAATAGTGAGGAGTCTCCCTTTAACAGCAGGGATGGAGGAGTCGAGGTGAATGAAGATGTCCTCATCGAAGTCATTAGCCAAACTCCTATTTGTTATCACCCTGGCATATGGGCCTCCAGCCTGGGTTTGCTGAAACACTATAGCTTACATTGATCCAGTTTACCTTGCTGATATTAATCTGGAAGTGTTAATTACTAAGCCCCTTATCCAGTCTAACTCCTAGAATCCTGTGTATGTGATCATTATCATCTGTCTCTGTTTTCTACAAACACAATATGTGTTTAACAGTGTGTGTTTATGTGTTTGGTATGTTGATGGTCTTTGGTGGTGGTGTGTCCTGAGGTTGTTTTAAAAGCTCGTGTTTCTCCAAGAAATGTGTTAAAAGCTTATTTTCAGTACTCTTCGTGCTTTGTCAGTTTTTGTCTCTTTGTGAAATGTCTTACATGTGTGCACAGTTGCCACTGAATGAGAAATTCTTCATCTCACAGAGGATCAGAACTTGTCCATATCTTGTCAACACATCTCTTGTCAACACATCTCTTGTCTATGTTTGTAACTGTTTTTACCATGAGGAGATGTTACATGTCCATTGATTGGAAGTGATATTTCCCAAATGCAAGTGTAGATTTTCTTTCCATATTAGATGATCTTTAAATACCCTTTACTCCAACGGATGCCTTCAAGTTACTGCATTTTTGTTATTCTGCTTACAGTCAGAATTGTACTACGGTCTGTTTGCCTTCCACAGCCAAGGTGAATACTTGAGAACAGATGTAATATCTTGTTGTTTTTACATTTAGGTGAAATACAAGGAGAACTTTTCCAAAGAGAAGGGTAAAAAGCCAAAGTATGATTTAAAGGAGGCTAAAATCTACAAGACCATGAAAGATGCTCACAACATTGCTAGTGAGGTATGCTCACTTACACATTTCCACTGAAAGTTTCAATTTTTCTGTGGGAAAGGCTTCCTCCATCTTCACTGATGTCGTTTATCCTTTCATATCCACAGGTGAAATACAAAGCAGATCTCAAGAAACTTCATAAGCCTGTCACAGACATGTCTGAGTCGCTGATCATGAACCATGTCTTGAATACAAGCCAACTCGCCAGTGCTGTAAGCTCAATAACTAACCCCACATCCATTTGACTTTTCCACTCCTACTGATTCCAGCCTGAACTGATCTCTGCTAATTATTTCTTTAATGATTACTCCCCTTTGCTGTAGTTCATTGGCCATCACCTGGTAGTGATCTCTTCTCTACTTTCTAACAGTTGTTTCCTGGTGAACTAGCAACTTTCTCACATTTGTTCTCTGGAAGTGAAATCTTTATTAGCTGTAGAACTGCTAGTATTTTAAATCCACTAATCATTTTCAGTGGATTCCTTCTTTATTACATTTTAACTGATCTCATCACACTAACAAATACTATTTTCTTCTTTCTTTTTTATTTTTTCTTTATTGCTTATTATATTTAAAACTTTTTTTCTTCTGCTTTTTCATTTCATTTTTATGTTTAACATCCTCCTACTGTAGAGGTACAGAATTACTTCTAACAAAATACTTGAAAGTTTTATTGAGGAAATATGAAAATCATTGCTGCCTGGCACAGTCTTTTATGTATCCACTGTGTTTCCTTTCTTTTTTTTTTTTTGTTTACTTTTTGTCTTCCTTTTTTTCATTCCTGGTTTTGAAAAAATTTTGCTGCAATCAAAATGATCAAAAAAGACAACTCATGTCTTTAAAAATGATTTGTTACTGAGAGTTAAACTTCTTGGTTTTGTTTTGCTTTTTGTATTTCTAATTTCTCTTTGATCTTCCATTGAAGTGTTGCTTTGATTGGACCTAAGAAGTAGATTTGCTGAGGGATTTTTTTTTTTTAATTGAGATGATTTTTGACACCTTCCCTTCAGTACCAGTACAAGAAGCAATATGAGAAGAGTAAGGGTCACTACCATATGGTGCCAGATAATCTTGAGCAGGTTCATCTAAGGGAGGCATCAGAACTGCAGAGCCACGTAAGTTGGTCATGTGTTTCTCATTAACCATACTCATTGAGTTCTGAAGTCTCCATCACTGAAACCATCCTAGCAAGTTCTCTGATGCATAGAAATTTATGTGCCAGTCTGCTTTTTGAACGCTGCATGCTTGAAAGGACTAAAGGCAACGAGAAATATTTGTACATTTGTAAGTGTAGAACACGTACAAAACGTCCATGAGTTCTTCATTTTAGAGTAAATTTCCTATTTACTTATTCATGTTGTATCTGGATGGTGTTACACAGTAATATAATTACTGTGTTATACTCAGCATGATACTTTTATGAAGGGGATTTCATCTATACAAAAATAGACCTGATAATCTCAGAAACTGGGAATTGAAAAAAAAAAATACAAATTTCAAATGCTCTGTCCATTCTAGTCTCAAGTGATACAAAGGACAACTCTGCCATTCTTTTTCTGCATGCATAATTCCTTTAGTGAAGACAATACCTACTGCTGCTCTTAAGTATGTCTGTTGACACTTCTTTTCCTCAAACGAGGACATTTATCCTCAGGTTTGGTCTTTTAGTCCTCCTCATTTCGGGTATTTATTGGGCCTAAAGCAAGAGAGAAGTTACTACTAGAACATGAAGGGCTGTAGATTATGTTCTGCTGCAGAAAAATGGCACAGAACTGTAAAAATTACACAGTAGACGACTACAAGAAAATGACTGTTCATCAGTTTTTAACCTAGTCCAAATGTAGTGGAAGCTCTAGTGTGAGACTGAGCCAAGGACAGAGCATTGCCTCCTGCAGCAGTTTGAAAATCTGATACACTAAAGACAGGATAAAGCAGAAATATATTAACTGTGGGGACAGTTTACTCGCTGGATACAAAATGCACAGACTTAGGGAAGAAGATGCTGAGCTGTATCTTCTCAAGCCCTCCCACTAACACTGAAGCAATTTATTAACATGGCTGAACTCAACCATCATCAGGAGCAGTTTGAGTGCTTTCAGGTTAGATCTGTACAGTTCCTGTCTTCCTTCTTGTCATCAGTTATTTCTTGAAATCAGAGCTGATGCTGATTATTCTCTGCAACAGGAAACGTGTCACTAGAATTTTATGCCATACACACTGAGCTGCAAGGCTGACCTTTGATTTTACATTTTAAGGTCAATAATATGTATTTCAGGATGACGATCGGTGTCAGAAGTTCATTTTTTACAAGAGATCAGTTGATCACAGTAGGCATATAGTAGCAGAAGAATTAAATTATTTGATTATTTTGAAGGGTAACTGTTTTCCTTTCTTCTTAGGTGAAATACAAAGAAAAGTATGAGAAGGAAAAAGGTAAACCTATGCTGGACTTTGAAACTCCAACATACCTAACTGCAAAGGAATCTCAGCTCATGCAGAGTGAGGTAAGATTAAAATGAATTCTTACAGGCTAAAGAAAGTTTAACATCTATTTTTTTTTATATAGTTAAACTTTCACATTGATTTACAATTGCAGTTACATTTGTGTCTTCTGTATGCCAATAGTTTGAAAAAATGTCACGTTTCTTTATACTGATTATAGGATATTATTGAAGAATCATGTTGTTTTCCTGTGTCACTGTGAAGTGTATATTTTCTGTAGTTTTTCATCAAGAAGCTGTCAGTGAATTGAGCTTAGGGAAATCTTTGAGTGAAATACACTTCACTTAAACTCTTGCCACAGGAACATGTTATGTATGTCAGCTACCATCGTCCACAGAAAATGTGCTGGTTATCCTTTTCACCTGAGAACTCTGTGTTTGAAAAACCCACTTACTGCCTGTTTGTCTCCCTTGTCACAGTGTTCTTCACTGTCGTTCTATTTTCTAAGGCAGTTATTTTTTGTTTGTTTGAACTATTATCTTGTTCTGTTGCAGATGAAGGCTTACCCATGTTGAAAAAACATTTGTATCAGGCCCTTAATCCCTGTGTTTGAATGACTCCATTAAATGTTTTCTGTGCATGTACAAATATGTAGGAAACAAACCAACAAACAGAATGCCAGGTCATACCTGCATTGGAAGTAATGAGCTATTTAATGGACTTCAACAGAAAGAAGATTGATTAATTCAGCTATCAGCTGAAGATCATCACTGTGCCATTAATACCAAACTGCTGCTCCTTCTCCATTCTCCCAGGAGTTTTTCATGTAATTAAGAATAATGTAATAAGTATTTGCTATTTTGCTTTTTTTTCTTCTTATTCTCATTAGAAAGAATATAAGAGGGACTTTGAAGAGTCCATTAAGGGCAGAAACCTTACTGGCTTGGAGATAACACCATCCTTATTACATGTCAAATATGCAACCAAAATAGCAAGCGAGGTAGCAGTTACTCTGTTTTTATTTCCTCTTACAAGCTAAATAATTCCACTAAGTATTCTCAACAGTATTTTTTCTTCACCACTTCCTTTTTCCTAACCATTCACTTTAAGCATGTTTTCATATATTTTGTGTTGTGACCTAATTTGTCATGGACACTTAACTTTTTTTGTTAACTGTATCCATGTTTACTGTGTCCCTTTCTGACATACTTCAACATAACTGTCCTGTAGTGGAGTGTGTACATGTGTGCCCTTGCAGTTTATCTTGAACAATAATAACTACACTCTGTTCCATTGCAGTGGCTCTTTTATAACCCTAAAAAATATTCTTTGCTGTTTTCAAAAGTCCTTCTTTAATTTAGAGCTTTTAGATTTTTTTTATTATTTTTTTTTCATTTTTGCAATACAGCTGGAGTTGTAGAACTCTTCTGTAGTCTGGCTTTGTGCTTTTCTTTCTTCCACAGAAAGAATACAGGAAGGATCTGGAGGAGGGTGTCAAAGGTAAAGGACTGTCAGTTTTGGAGGAGACTCCAGACATGTTAAGAGCAAAGAATGCAACTCAGATCCTGAATGAGGTACGTAACACCAGGATGTAGTCACTACCTACAAACTCCTGAGTGGACAGAAAGGAGTAAAATAGAACGTGTATGGTGACTAATGTTAGTGGAGCAAAGAGCTCCTTTTAAATGATGAATGCTTTCTGGGTGTCTCAAAAACAGCAGCAAGACTGGTGGGCAGTTGCACCTGCTCAGGCCAAACTCAGAGCAGCCAGCTGTTGACTGCTCCAGGACTGGAGGACTCTTCCCCAGCCCAGTGGAGAGAGGTGGCCACCAGAGAATGAAATGCAAACTTCACCCAATTTATTTACAAGGTGGACTGTTACAATAAACACTGAATAGTGACTGTTTTCATAGGATAAAGTTAGGTCATACTTTAAGGGTTTTGATATCATCAGATGGAAGCTGAAAAAAGTAACATTTTAGTGTTAATTTGATATACCCTTAAGATGAGCATGCTTGATTGACAACAGCATTTTGGTACTTAGAGCAAGCATTTTTTTGAGTTATTCAGATATTTTACAACCACACAACATTGCAGACATACTCAGTAAGATTTGGCAGAATTGGCATAAAGAGATAAGAATTATACCCATCTATACAAAGTACATCTTTTAGACCTTACTGGAAGATCTCAGCTGGGCTGTTTGTTCTCATTATTTAAGTTATAAAGTACACTCTAATGGCATCATGTGTATGTTTAATTCTAAGCTTATATAAATTGTAGTCCTGTTTAGAGGCGTGATCATGAAAATACCTGCATTCACATCAGTAAAATATCTGTTTATTGTCTTCATCTGCAGAAAGAGTACAAAAAAGCCTTGGAATTAGAAATCAGAGGTAAAGGTCTATCAGAACTGGCTTTGGAAACACCTGATTTTGTGAGAGCAAAGAATGCCACTGACATTGCTAGCCAGGTCTGTGTGTATGACTCATTTATCACATCTGCTGTCTGTCCTTAAAAGAAAAAATTAGTGTGTGTTTGTTTATTTGAATGCAAGTCACTGCGAAGATATGATGAATGCATCTAAATGTGAGCTTTTCTTGACAGATCAAATACAAACAGTTGGCAGAAATGGAGAAGGCCAACTACACCAGTGTTGTTGATACTCCAGAGATCATTCATGCCCAGCAAGTCAAAAACCTTTCAAGCCAGGTATCTTGAGTGAAGGGATATTCAATCACTGCTCATGTGGGAATCTTGAGTGGATAGTATTTAGGAGCACCTAAATAACCTCCTGTCACAGTGTTCAGGAGATACACCAGAAAAGCAGACAGTGGTAGAACGGTGACAATTAAATATTGAAATTAATTTATTTTAATGCTGTCTGAAGTGGAACAATAATTTCTATTGGTTTTGCAGTCCCAAAGCTATTTTTTGTTTTAAGTAAACGTAGCTGCATTTTTCTATCCCTTAATAACTTTCAAATGAATCCCACACAGAGGTGTAATCTGAAACAGAAGTACACAGATTTCCGTAGAGATGGGCATTATGCAACAGTAAGTAGAGACAGGCTGTTCATTAGTTCTTTTGTACTAATAGCATACGTTTTGTATTTTGTATCAGAAAAAGTACAAGGAGGAGGCAGAAAGGACCATGCCATACTATGTGCCTGTAGCAGACACCCCAGAAATGCAGAGAGTCCGTGAGAATCAAAAGAACTTCAGCACGGTACGTGTGCACAAAATAAATATTGTTACTGTCAAACAATAATAAAAAAATGTACAGCTTTTTTTGTCACTTCATAAGGTCCAAATACCACACTTGAATCCCTCCTGGTCTACCTTGACATTCTCAGTGATCCCCATCCAGGAGCTCCCCATTGTATACAGCAGCCCACTCACACAGAGGAACAAAATGAGTCTCTGACTTCCTTGGAACAAAACTTCTTTCTGCTGTGTTTTGACAGTTCTTTTGCTGATAATAAAGAATTACAGTTACAGAAGTTGTTAGATGGAAATAAATGCATGGCTGTATGGTCAGGAACATGGACAATTTCTCCTTCTGGTGGCTTGAATACTTTAATTGTTGAGAAAGGTGCCCAGTGTGGCACCTTTCAAGATTTTTGATGAAGGTGGTTGATCTCCTGTTACAAGTTTAAATCAGAGTAGTTATAACTGTATGTCTTAATATCACTAAAGGTGATGTTAAAACGAACACCTTAAAAGGTGTACTTGCACATATTTTTCTTAGCTTCAAAGAAAGCTCTGTGAGTAAATTTTTATGGCATAAAGTCAACGTGTGACCTCTTACTACAACTTTTACAACAACTTTTTCAACAGCTTCAATATCAGTGGGACCTACAGAACAGTAAAGGAAAAGTGACAGTTGTACAAGATACACCAGAAATGCTGCGTGTGAAGGAAAACCAGAAGAATTTCAGCTCGGTACAGTTATTTTTCTGTTTTCAATGCTCATTCCAAAGAAAAAGACCTTCACAGGGTTTAACGTGATGTGTTTAATGCAGTAATTATTTTAGTCTCTTCCTCATAGATACTTATGTTCTGCACCTGCTGAAATGTAAGATTTTTTTCCAAAGAAGTTAGTTTTCTTGTAAGCAGATGTAGCTGATTTAAGCTACTCCTTTTTATCTAGTGTCACTTGTGGAGTGCTCTGATTGCAGTCTTTTTCATGTATTCAGCTGTCATAGAGCTAAACTATCATCCCTGTGCTTGATATCTTAGCAGTGTCCACCTTTCTTTTGTTCTGTTGCCATGTAAGTAGTGCAGTCTTGCTGTATTGCAACTTTTTTCTTTCAGTGGAAAGTGAACTGCCTGCCTGATGTTTCACATGTCATGTGTTACCATGAAGTGCCTATTGTCTGCTGTATCATTTTGCCACCAGTACCATTAGCCTACTGGGTGGAAGGAATTTGTGTGAAACATCCCCAAACGAATTGGAACTGGAAGCACAAACTAAACAAGTATTTGTTCTAGATATTCATTCCTAAAATGTTTTGATAGTCGACTTAAAATCTAAACAACCAGCCCTGTTTTTGCACAAATGGCACTCATTGTAAACAAGACAGGTATAAGGCAGTGACTGCAGGTGGTCCTCCATGTTTGCTTTCATCCTGCACTGTTGTGTGCAAATCACTGTCATGAAACTTTATTCACTCTCTCGGAGAAACAATGTTGTGTTTTGAATGCTTAACCTTGTTGTCTCAATTCCAAATGTTAAGATTTTATATAAGGAAGATATTGGAACTGGAACTACTATTGAAAAGACGCCAGAGATGCAGAGAGTTAAAAGAACCCAGGATGCAATTAGCTCGGTACAAAACAATTGATTTTTAATACTCTACAGGTGCTAATTCAACTTAAAGTAATATTCTTTTCCCCTCTCACTTCTTTAAATGTTGCTAACTGTGGTTTGGCAATAATCCATTCAGCTGAGGGTTACTTTCTAAAAGTTTTGCCTTTTCTTGTGACTTAATCTTTCTAATGATTAATATTCAATTTGTTACTTACAATCAATTTCTAAAATCTGAAAGCACTTGTCATATTTTTAATCTCATCCCAAACACATTTTATTTATAAGAGAACGAAGTAACTGTTTAGGTGGAAAGGCACCTCTTGACATCATCTACTCCAGCCCCTTTCTCAATTGAGTTCAGCTAGGGCAGGTTGTCCAGCACTGCTCTGAGTTTTTAATACCTCAAAGGATTTAGATATTCAGAAGGACCCAACAGCCTCTCTGAGAAACCTGCTCTGATGTCTGACCGGCCTCATAGTTAACAAAATATTTTGCTATGTTCAGATATTTCCTGTTTTTTAACTTGTGCCTATTACCGTTCATCCCATCACTGGGCACTGCTGAGAAGAGTTGCTCCCTTGTTTTCCTTCCAGGTATTTACACCTGTTGATTAGTTCCTCCCAAGTCTGTCCTGCTGGCTGAAGAGTCCCAGCTCTCTAAGCCCCATCTCATATCAATGAATGTTAAACAGCACTGGCCCCACTGTGGACCCCTGGGACACACTCCTTGTGCTCTGATCTCCAGCTGGCCCCCATGACATAGATCAAAGAGTTCTGGGCCTGCTCATTCAGCCACACTTCAGTCCAGCTCACTGTGCACCTCTCTGACCCATCCTTTGTGAGGAAGTTAGGGCAGCCTACTAAAGCATGTCTTGTAAAACTTTTATATTTACAACATTGTAATACTCTAATATTGGAATAATGGTGTGTAATTCTTTTCTTTCAAGATTTTTTTTTACATGCTTTTAAAGAAATTTGGATGTGATTTTTGTGTAAGAGCTACTAACATTTCAGCCATTTGTTTCATGTGTGTTGTATTGAATATGTTCTCGTAAGATACTGTTGTCCTGTTTTGGTTATACTAAATTAGAAATGAAAATAGCACTGATATCAAGATTAATTGCTAAAATATTGTATGATGCCCCTCAGCTCTGTTGAATGTGATGATCTTTACAAATTCTGAATTCTAATCATACCGAATTCCAGACCATATTAAATCTGTTCAAAGGCATTCACAATAGGTTTTAGAAAACCTTTTTATGAGGGTGCCATTCATGGTGAAATCTCACCCAGCAGGCTGCTTGTAATGGCAGTGGGAATGCTTGAACACCAGCTTTCTGCTCGTGTTGCAGCCAGTCAGATCTTTTAAATTGTCCACCTTCTTGAAATTAGAATAATGCTCTTTATGTATCTGCATGGGAATCCAGGTGCCTATTTTAAGGCCATTAGGCTAAAATTTTTAGATTATTATATATACTTTTGTATTTACATATATATATTTAATTTCAGGGAGTTTGTACAGTGTAAGTGCCCCATGCTTTTTTATTCATGCAGTTTGTTACCCGTACCACGCATCAACTGTGCTTTTACAGAAATTCTAATTTTTTCTAATGTCTGTGCCTTTGTAGATTAAGTACAAGGAGAGTATTGGAAAAGGAACTCCAATTCCTGATCTCCCAGAAGTGAAACGTGTCAAGGAGACGCAGAAGCACATCAGCTCGGTAGTGGCCAATATTTTCTACTTACCTCTATATAACCTTTCAGAGCTCAGTCTTCAGCCTCTGGTAGTGTTTATGGGTATTTTTTTGTTGTTGTTGTTCTTGAAAGGAGAACAGATCCCTTAAATCTTTATCTTCTGCAGCAGGAAGTTGAATTTTGCAGCAATCATTACAGTTAAATCACTTCCCTGCATAATTTCTGTGACCACAGAAATGAAATAAAAAAAATACACAGAGGAGTTCTTATTGTTCCAAAAAAATAATGGAGCAGCTAGAGAGAAAAAAGTAAATTGGAGTCTCTTTTTGTAATCAAAGAACCTAGCAATGGTTATAAACGGAAATAAAAGTACCTGCTCTTCCCATATGTAGCTAATTGTACATTCTAATAATCAAATCCAGTTCTCCTGACTTTAAGCCATCATTTCCTGCAGCCTTACTTTGCTCTCTCAATACAGTATTGAGGGAGAGTATAGTCTTGTGATTGTTGGTACCTTGGATGTTTGCTACACAATGTTGAGGAGCTGCCATACGATGAATGTCTTATGATTTACTACTCCTAATGTTAAGTAGTTTCTCTCTTATTCTTTTTATGATAGTATTGATTTTTACAGCTCACTAGTGCATAGCAGTTGGTTTTTCTAACCTTCAAGTTACATCATTTGTTCTCTCTTTCTGTGTATCCTTTATTTTTGTATTATTTTTCCTTGTTTCAATGACAGCAAGTAGTGAAATGCAGTTTGCAATTGTTTTATGAATTTTCAAATACTGTTAGTGCATTTGTAATGTATTCCTGCATGATTAGATTTTAGACCAAGCATCTTCTATACATTTTGTGTCACGGGAGATGCAGTAGTCAAACAGTTGTAGATTAAATTAAATAAATTTCACTCAGAGGGTGGTGAGGCACTGGAACAGGTTGCCCAAGGAGGCTGTGGATGCCCCATCCCTGCAGGCATCCAAGGCCAGGCTGGATGTGGCTCTGGGCAGCCTGGGCTGCTGGTTGGTGACCCTGCACAGAGCAGGGGGTTGGAACTGGATGAGCACTGTGGGCCTTTGCAGCCCAGGTCTATCATTCTGTGAAATAGGGAAACATGAGCACTAAGGCTCAGTGGTGTTTCTCACCTGAAACAAAATGCTGATTTTCTGAAGGTAGATATTAAAATGAAGTGGATTACACAACTAAGTGCAGCTGTTTGCTAACAAACAAAGCTCTCAAAATGTTCACTGCCTGAGAAGTAGTACTGTTACAATTCCTAAACTAAGATGAAAAGCAGACTACCTTTATTTTATTTAGATTAGCAGCAGAGTAATCAAATGTGTGTCCTATTAGAGTGAAGTAATCCACTGACTTCAGTGTCTTGAGGCTCCTAAATGTGGACATCAGGTACTTTGCTTAAATCCACACTCAGTAAAAGAAATGTTGTGCATGTTTATGTCCCAGATTGTGTTTATCTGCTGACCAGGTAAAGTGCCTCTGCAGGTTTTGTGTCGATACTGGGGAAGGGACACATCTCATCTTTCTGGGTGCTTGTATTCTGCAGGTCTTGTACAAAGAGGAGGTGGGGACAGGTATTCCAACACCTGTAACTCCAGAAATAGAGAGAGTCAGACGCAATCAAGAACACATTAGCTCGGTATTTAAGAAAAAGATAAATCATTTTTGTGTAACATCCTAACACGTACTCCTTTTTTCTTCAATGATTTAAAATCTCACCTCACCCCACTCCTTTCTTCTCTCTGGCAATATTTTTAACTCAATTCTTCCACCTTTTTTTGTGCTTTAACTTTTTGGAGTGATTTACGACTTTACATGCATTTCTTTTTAAGAACCGAAACCTTTATAAGCTGTGAAAAAAAAAATTTGTTGCTCCTCTCCGTGTTTGCTTTATCTTAACCCTTTATCTCCTGGGATATGTAGCCATATTTACAGAATAATCAGCCACTTCCTCAATATTTACCTCTAGAACAAGCGTGCAATTAATGAAGAAGTGACCCTAACGCTAAACATAACTCACAGAATAGTGAGATGTAATTGCTTTGCCTATGCTGAATGCTGGTTTTTGTTTGGTTGGTTTTTCTTTTTGTTTTGTTTTTTGTCTGGAAATTCTCTTGTACCTCATAGGTGTCATACAAAGAGGGCTTAGGGATGGGCATCCCAACCCCGGTCACTCCAGAGATGGAGAGAGTCAAACGCAACCAGGAGAACATTAGCTCGGTACAGCCCAATAAAGCAAGCCCCACCCCTGAGACTGCAAATCCCATCCCTTTAACTGCTCCATATTAATTTTTTCTTTCAATTCGGTTATGAATTTGAACAACCCTTTCCTTAATCAAGTCACTAAAACTTGCCAGTATCCTTATATTGTATTTTTTTTCCCTCAGTCTAGCATAACTGCCATTAAATTATCCCAGCTGTGAGATTTACTCAATTTACTCCCTCATTTACTTAAATCAGTTAAGCAGTGCCTTATTTCTTCTTCCCACTGATATAGTGACAGTGTGGGTGACTCCTCCATAGCAAAGCTGATCCTTCTAACACTCTTCAGACTCACCATGCTGGTGCAGTGCTAAAGCAAAATGAACTCTTAATGCTTCCTGAAGCAAAGCAGTCTAATGAAGCCAGAGCGTGTCTGCGTGTTTCTGCTTGTTGGATGCTTTCTTGTGTCCTACAGGTCTGTGTAAGAAAACCTGCTGGCATCCCTTTATCACTGTAATGTGAATAATGGAGAAAATTGCACAGACAAGGGGAAATGACTGAAGCAATGCACTTCTATCCAGAATTACTTCTGTTTCTGGCTCGTTGCAGTCAAGTCACCACGCAGTTTGAAGTGCCCTGCTTTACGACTTTCTTGTTTATTTCTGTTTCAGTTGCAGTCACTTAGGGCTGATTCTGACTCTGACATGATAGATGTAAAGTTCAGACCTGAACTGACGACATTTGTAGTAAAGTTCAGAGAAGCCCCTGTAGTCACACTTGCTGTGCTACATCTCTGTGATCATCACTTCTCTCTTTAATACTTGTGAGGGGCAGTTCCTAAGAGGAAAGCTGACCATGAAGATCTTTTGTTTGAGTAAGCAGACTGACTTCCTTGTGGAAGGAGGCAGAACTGCAAAAACGTTAGCCATTAGCTCCTTATTTTATTGACTTTTTTCTGCTAGCTTTTGAACAAGACTGACAAAATTGTATTTGTCATACTTGGAGGTTTCACTGTATTAAATTTCTTTTCTTCTCTCTCTCTCTCCCCTTGCCCCATCCTCCTCCTTTCCTTTTTTTTTCCTTACAAACACCCCACGAACCAAACCAAACAAACCCTACCTCCCCGTTGCCACACAGGTGTTGTACAGAGAGGGGCTGGGAATTGGAACCCCAGTGCCTGTGACCCCTGAGATGGAGAGGGTCAAACGCAACCAGGAGATCTTTAGCTCGGTACTCTTCCCTAATTCCAGACAAATGTTCCCTGTAACTTCATTTTAGAAGAACTTTGTAACACCTTCAAATGACCTCTGGAATTAACTTATAGTGACGCTCCCTTTGTGCTGTTAAAATTCAGTCTTTCTTACATTTTATCCAAAAATTGTAAAAGATTTTTCTAATAATCGTAACATTTAATGCTTCACATCCTTTAAAACTACTATTTTTCTTATTTTTATTTTCTTAAAAATTACTGCTTCCTCTGTTTGCTTAATTCCATTCTTCTAATGCTTTATTGCTGTGTCAAAGCATCCCTAGAACCTTTCAGGAGCGTGGAAGCATTCCCCTAGATTGATCACAATTGTTACCTGCTTTACAATTCCTAATTTGTGCCTCATTCCAGTGGACATAGTGGGCATAAAAATTAACCGTGCTGCTCTGCATCCCTCAGAAATGTTCTGTGTTTTATGCTTTTTTACGCTGCTGTGTTACCATACAGGTGGTGTACAAAGAGAACGTGGGGATGGGAACCCCCACCCCTGTCACTCCTGAGATTGAGAGAGTGAGACGCAATCAAGAACACGTTAGCTCGGTATCTTAGTTTGAAAAGAAGAAAATTCCCTTTCCATCCACTTAAAAACACTTTTAACACCCAGAGTTACCCTTGTTCCCCTATAATCATCTGACACCAAGAGCAGTGTCCCCTTCCCCTTGTTTTGGTGCTGTTTCCTGCATAATGGTTACTTACCCCACTTTTATTCCTTTGTTTTGATTAGTTCCCTTAATTACAGAAACTTTTGGATTCTGTGATCCAATCTATTTTTATTTATTTATATTTTTTCCTGTGAACAT